ATGCTTTTTAACTGAAATGTGAGCTCCAGTGCTTGCAAAAGTTATACACAATACACAATCCAATCAAAAAAGCTATAGACACGGTCGTTGATCATTAGTCAACTGACCCGACAATCATAGGCAAGCTGAGCTTGGTGATCTATTCCGCTGTTCTGAGTGCATTCTGTGAATTCTCTGGCCCACCCAGTCGGATAATTTGTTCACTCATCTGTAGAGATAGACTCATAAGAATAGCTTTCTGTTTTCAAATTAAAATAATTCACTCGATATAAAGAAGCGAGTTACTAGTTGAATGAGGATCCATTCATGTCGCTCGTTTTCACCAGAAGTCGGTATTTACTTTCTGGGCTCAAATCTGCGTAGGATGTACACTGTAGTAGTAGTCTCTAGAAAGGATCAACCTGTGTTCGTCGTATTCAAAGAGACTCAAACTTAGTTCTGATTGTGTCAAAAGTCAATTACCCTCCGCAGATTGTTAGGGAATGGGGAAATCCATGAACAAAGTTTGGGGTGGGTTTTATTGAAGCGATGCAAGTTTAGCCCAAATTTTCTCAGTTTATCATACACTTATCGAAGAGTGGCTCCTTTTGTGCTTTTTAGTTCTCGGGAAGTTTCTCGTTCAATTAGTGACGATGACCGTTTAATCGCCCTAAGTTTGACCCAATGGCAACTTTTTCTCCACTAAAACCTATTAAAAATTACTTTAATTTATTAACTTTCATATTAAATAATGTTTCTGAGTTCCCCAGGTGTTACGTAAATGATAATCGAAGCTTTTGTTTTAATTTGCTACCTTGACGTCTTAACTGAACGTTATAACTTGCATAAAATCCTGAACCGAACTGAAGGGTTTGTTTGCACTGAGTACATACATGATCGTGGAGTGCTTCCCAAAGGAACTTCATATCAGTGTGGGCATATGCTGCACATGTAGGGATCCATCTGAATGAGGTCCAATATAGGTCATGGTTTAGTTTTTCTTATGATGGCATTTTAAATTTCATGGCATATATAAAACAGATTTATCCTTGATCAATATTTCAACCATTTTTGAACCCATTTTTGTTATTTTTGCTGTTGCTTTTCATCATTTTTTTCATTTTTATTCTTACTATTATTATTTTTGAACCTATAAGATACACTTTAGTATACGATTATTGAGCATTTTTACAGTATACTGCTTATTAGTAGATAACTTATAATCGCAGAATGTTGCCTGGGAAGGACCCAGACGGTCAACGTCCGCCGATTTCACTGTACGAATATCTTCTAAGACACTTGGTAACTAATAATTACGTTGTGCCTCTTCAACAACTACGGGAGTACCCTAGAAAGTGATAAACCATAGAAAATTTCGCACTCCGTTCACCGTCTGCATTTGAGAATACTCAATCACTTTTCAGCAGTGCGACGGATAACACCAATTACGGTAGACACTGGTCATAAATTGTGTTGAACGATACACCGATTTAGGTAAATCGGAACGGTGTGTGCCTTACTCATGTAAAATGCAATGTACTCATGCAAGACTGATAGAAAGCTGCATTTGCACTCATCTTGGTTGCATAAAGCCTGAAAATTGTTGATTTTATCTCTATTGGAAGTTGTGTCACATCTGGTGTATGTGCAGATAGAGACCTCCACGAATGCATGGAAGGTCTGACTTACTCTCGTTAGCATGTATTATCTGTAGCAGATAAACCTTGATATTAATGAAATTAGCCGGAAAATTATGTTGCTTTTGCTTTCGAAATGTATGCTTTTTATACACTCTATGGTTTGACAACCATTAAATTCATCTGACAGACTCCGTGCTTTTCACGTGAATACCCCTTTATAAACCAAGTAATACTGTATGAAAGCTACCTACGGTGTCCTTTAGACCGTATTTTTAAAGAGTTTCGTACCAAAATTTCAAAACTCAACAACATGGAGATTCTTCACGTTATTTATTTCATCTTTCACCAATGCAAATTCATTGCCCATCAAGAGAACAGCACCAGATCAGCAGCCGGAAGAAAAATTCCCCAAACGGAAATGTGGAAAGCCAAACGACTGGGTTGGAATCCTGCTACCCTATGCGACATATCCGGAATACACGAAGTGTATTGGACATAACGTGTGAGAACCTTTACAGTTAAACCTTAAAAAAATGAATACTTTCAGGTCCGGAGGATCCAAAAAGGAAGAAAATAGGAGAAGTGATGCGTCAATGGAGCCTTAGGTATTTTGATGTATTACCCATGCGATTCCACAGACACTGTATATGAAATTGTGTGAGGACCGACAAAGAACACCAGGTGGCTGGTTCATCAGTGTTGCACTCATCGCAATGCAACAATTTGTGAGTCCCACAAGGTTCATGATTTATGGGGATTCACGGAAAATATCTCAATGAATAAGATCAGTTTCGTTTGAGCAACCGGTATTTTCACATGTAAGTAATCTGTCCAAACCGTCTTTTTCAAATCGATCGGATGACTAGAATGCGGTGCTAATTCATTTTCTGCGGAATTAGAATAGACTGCCTTCCCGTGTTAAACCTGGCGACAAGCGACGCGAAAAGTCACGGTTCCAATGCAATGAAGACCAAGACTGTCTCATGATACGGTACTATCAATGCGAATTAATTAATGACATCATAAATAATATACAAACCTTGATTCGTGAGGTATGAGATAGGACAGTCGTCAAGGCACTTCCAGATATAAATGCGTCAAATAGGAATATGACAGTGCTCAGCTGTGTCGAAATACACCTGACAATCAAGGTTCTTCAAAAGGGGACAGCTCACCGCTGTGTCAAACAGAGAATGTGATCAAAGTATATGGAGTCAAACAAAATAAGTCCAGTGACATGAAGTTCCCAAAGGATGAGACAATCATAAGAGAGTTGGTAGCACACAATTCGACCTCTCAACAAACAATGACAGGCGTGCGTGAGTGCATGTGTGTATACAGGAACCGGTGACCCCAAAGGAGCCATCAAAACAGGTCACATGTGCGTGGGCGGATAAATAATCGATAAATGATAAGCGATGAACCGGCACAGAACAAGGGTAGACGGAACACAAGTCAACCAATAGTAAGGGACAGTAGAGGTCACAAGGAACTCGTGTGATTTAAGTCATACGTGTGAGTGGTTTGCGTGTCTGCATGTCCATATACGCGTCAGAAACTGGAAAAACTAAGCAATCGCTTGGCTATGTAGGAAATCGATAACCAGAAGGAAACGAATGTTGACGGGACAAATAAGAAGCGATAGAGTGGGCAATGAAACGAAAGAACACAAAGTGATTCTGAGGAAAGGAATCAACACTCCCCCACAAAAGCTAGGTTGGTTTTCTTTAATATCCACCCCACACCCTGCACAGGGAAACAAGTGGAAACGTAAATGGTACAATTTACTTTTACCACAACCGCTCCGACAGGTAACACAAGTGCGCCTACAGCGGTAGGGCCTCTAACTATAATCAGCTCCCTCTAGCATGCAAATCTTACGCATGTTTCTATCTATAACTCCTTTTGCGGCCTTGATCGACAGGTCCATCCACCCCATTTACAACAGAGATGACGTTTCATTTTGGCCATTCGTCCCGAGCTTTCTTTTCCTTGATTTGCGGATTCTCATCAGTTGCCATTTTTTCTTGAACGGGTTCGCTGTATTTTCCACATAATGGATCAAGATAGAAGCAGTCCAACGATGGCTTATGCCTTGGTCGAGCCTCATTTTCTTCGTTATATGTCACCCCAGTCTTATGGATAACATTGGTGCTTGCAGCTCCTCACGAAGGGTGGTAGCGTTTTTCAACGCAGCGACTTTTTCATGAAGTGGTATAGTGGATTGAATCTTTGTACGAGGGTCAACGGAAACTCGGATGCTGTTTTTTTGCAGGTTCTACCGTGTCGCGTAGCGTCCATTGGTCATCAGGCTTGTTGGAGTCCCCAGCGTCCCCAGGCAGATCAAGAGCCTGGTGTGGACGTAGACCAACAGGATCCACTTCCGACGACTTCTCAGTTATTGTACTAGCGAGAATCAATCGTGGAGAGTACGCTGAACAGCGAATAGCTTCTCCTAACATATCCGACTGCGTGAGATGGGTTATGTCATCGTTACACTTAGTGGTCACTGAGTTCTTAGGCGAAATTAACTCAACCGGTGGAATGGAAGTGGAGTGTCTGGAATCATCGGTTAGAATATTCGGCCTCATGGTTTCTTTAGTCGCCAACCTCTCGAGATCCAATCCTCTTCTGGTTGCCAAATTCTTCTTCCTTAACTCTAATTGACGTAACTCTACCTCTACTTCCTCCAGTAAAAGGTCTCTGATGGCATCGGAAAGAGCGATCACACCTATTATGCCTACTAGAGCTAACGCTTATTTATCTACAGGCCATCGGGTTTTGATGAGCATCAATAAATGATTCACAATAAGCGTGGGGGGGGGATTCACCTGGAGGAAGATAGTATGATAGATACAGTTCGCATCATTGTGCCTTGCATGGAACTGTTTGGGCGATTGCCACGCTCTTCGTCCGTCGACCATCATTGCAGTTGATTCTTGCACCTTCTGGATAGGATGTTCGGAGTGTTACATAACACCAAAGTCCCGGGAGGGTGAATAATGATGAGATTGAACAAATGCAAAATTCGATAATGTTATTGGATTCAAATGGACCTAAATCAAGTACTGTTATGGTCGACGGACGAACAGCGTGTGAATCGCCCAAACAGTTCCATGCAAAACAAATGATGTGAACTATGTCCATCATACTATCTTCCCCCAGGTTGACTGGGGATGGTACAGATGAAGGCGTGATGGCATTCATTCCAAGCATAAATTTAAGGGAGCCGTCTTTGAGCCTGAAACTGAAACATGTTGGTTTGCGATTCCAAACATGAATTTGAAAATGTTTAAAGTTGGATATGCGTTAACCGCCATCTATGCTCAGTGTAACCAAACCAGTAACTCCAGGAGGCTCACCAATGATCAGGTGTCGAAGTCATACAATGGATCTGGTTAAAATAATGCACAGAGTATTTTCGCCTCTTCCTTGATCAACTAATGTTTAGTTCGTCATTCCTGTGTGTCAGAACGACACAAGATATCAGCTTTTGGGCCGGAGTACGGGGTATATGCATTTTGACTTCTCTATTGTTGTCACAAATAACCTCTTTGTACATTTTCAATCCAAAAGTCGTAGATATATGTTCCTCAATGTTCTTAGATGAACAAATCATCTTACATGGTTCATGGAAACATAACTGAAGGGGAAGTTCATCATTTAGTGAGAAATAAGATACATGCGATGATGTTCTTATCACCGGTAAATTTTGCTGCAAACTGCCCACCGAAAATCATTGATTACCTTTCAGAATACAGTTTTCATGGATTTGCACCGGCTTTCAGAATGTCACCGAAGACTTTTCACACAGAGTGCACACGTCTTGTTTCCAGTTATCACTCACTAACTTACAAAAAGTGCTAATTCAGGAAAGATAATTGGGGTCATCAGATGCACAAACTGGTGCAGCAATACTCAACCAAGCTATTGACTATCAAATTCGCCTCAAGGCCACGAAAAAGGTGATACTGATAGTTCAATGTGGACAAACTTACCGCTACCGACCCCGCCTTAAACGGAAGAGAGATAATTTTGACATTTCGGCGAGTGAGTTGATCCTCCCAATCTAGCGGTGGATATTTTTCAAATTCATCCTCTTCCGTCTCACTATATGAGGAGCTTCTACGGGACCCGACACCGGAGCGACGGGAACTGAAAAGAGCCAACAAAACGACGAGATCACAAGCGCATTTCCTCCGGTGTATTAATCACTTGTTTTATTCCATTGTCATGAATTCAGACCGAATGTATTCTTTTCCAATTAGTTACTTAGAAGTGGTATGGTCACTGTGTTGGATTTTTTCAAATTTAATAATGTCACTAATCTAACGGGCACAATAGGTCACCGCTTGGTCAGTACCTCCAGGAGAAGAAATATGTTTTAAACCCTGACAGTTGCTCCATGGGGCTGCATGTAAACCCTGATTCCAAGTTACCCAAGTACTTCTGAACACCATTCCGAACTATATCAAATGCAAGGATGAATAGTAAGTCTACATACCTCTTGTTATGGAACGGTTCTCCGCTCCTCCCTTTAATCGTGACTGTGGATGAATTCAAGCATATTTGCTTTTAGTCTGTATTTTTATTTATGCTATTCATATAAACGAATGATTTCATTGTAGTATGCATGCAAAAAGACTTCGGGTACGTTGCGCAAACTCTAGGATATTTGGCCTCGATTTAGTGTATCAAATTTGGATTAGCCCATTCGATTGTTCAGAGGCACCAGGCACAATTGATGTTCTTGAGTGTAGATTTCACTCCTTAGGAGATCATTAATTCCCCACTAGTTGAATGTATTTATTTGCGATGGAAATATTTATGATGACCGACAGAGAGCACTGGACAGCTGTTTCGTCCTGTTTGGGACTCGTCGACAGTGCGTACTTTTTCTGTCCTTGTCAAGACCCGAACACGACTTCAAACCCGTAGCTACACGGTCCACGGTCAAAAACCTTGTGCGAATGGCTCAACCAATTTTAAAGTATCGAATTTGAATTAGCCAGTGCTCTTTGTCGGTCTTTACAAATATTTCCATCGCAATTTTGGTCTCATTAATCATATGCTGCGAACCCCGACCAAAACCAGTGTTTGTGTGCTCGCAAAATTTCTTTTAAAAGCATCATTAACTGAGTTCTGTAACATTTTTTGTTTTAGGATCGATAAAATGAACAATGGTTTGCACTAGGGTGGATAAGAATAAACCAATAAGGATCCCGAGTAAATCAACCGTAGATTGTAGATTGAGTGTCATAACAACACAACACGATGAGCATGAGATTGTGTAACAAAACCAACGGCATGGGTATTTATTTCGTGGTATATCATAATAATCTCTAGTCAGTACGTCAATCGCATCGCACTTTTGCACTAACGACTAACTGCTTAGCTATTGTGAATGCTGACATTTCGATGTATTAACTCTTAACTCTAAAACGTCCTAACAAAACATATGTGATAAAAACCAAAATGCACAAGCTAACTCAAACACTCAAATGATCTTTACTGACCAATTGGTAAGTTAAAGGTAAATTCAGTTCAATATGGTGCTAGTATACCTGTAACTCGGGTGATAAGAATTAGCGATGGCGGGTTTTATCTTTGGGCTTGAAACTGCTTAAAAGTATGTAGTATGTGAGCATGACGACTGTCAATCTGTAGTGTAGGAAAGGAAAATGATCATAATGCTCTTTTTGTTATCGCTTAAAATTCATTATTGAATTACTAACCGTTTAGAGTACTTTTGCGGAATGGTTCCATCGCATGCGTAGCGAATAATGTCCAGGAATACACGTTGTCCACAACGACGGGCATGCTTGTCCAAAGGATCTTCCAATTCGCTACTCATTGGAACCGGTTTGCGAGCGAAAAGATCTGCCCAAAGGAATGGCAACGTGAATCAGATGATCGAATGTAAAATAAAAATAGTTTTCAAGTTTAATTGATGTGTCATCCCAACCAGACTAATATACTCAAATGTTTTTGGTCATATTTTGATGGTCATGCAATCCATTTGCATGAATTTATTACTTACACGGGGAGCGAACTCAAAAATCGCCACACTGGAAGCAAAATTAGTGGACTTAAG